TGTTTCCTGAGGGTGATGTTTCTTCATTAGCCTCTGCTCTCTGTATCTGTCAGGACAGTCTTCAGTGGCAACAAACCCCAGATATCTGGGCTTAATGCCAAGGTTTTTTGTTTTTTTTTAAAATATATTGTAATTGATTTTTACAGAGAGAAAGGGAGAGGGATAGATAGTTAGAAACATCGATGAGAGAGAAACATGGATCAGCTGCCTCCTGCACACTCCCCACTGGGGATGTGCCCGCAACCCAGGTACATGCCCTTGACCGGAATCGAACCTGGGACCCTTGAGTCCGCAGGCTGGCACTCTATCCACTGAGCCAAACTAAGAAAAATTTTTTTATTGAGTTTTGAGAGAGAGAAACATTATTGTCATCAGAAACATCAGTTGGTTGCCTCCCGTATGCACCCCGACCAAGGATCAAATCCACAACCTGGGTATATGCCCTGACCGGGATTCAAACTGGTGACCTTTCTGTGCACGGGACGATGCTTCACCAACTGAGCCATACAAGCCAGGGCAAAGCGGGTCATTTTTAACCAGACAGTAACAAAATCTGATCTCCCCTAGAATAACCAGGATAAGTTTTTCTTATCCAGCTCTTTGTCTTTTCTCCTAAAGACCCAGCAGGATGCCAATGCCTCTTCCCTCTTGGACATCTATAGCTTCTGGCTTAAGTAAGTCTTTCCTGTACCGTTTTGGCTATTTTCTCCCCTCAAGTGTACTGGGCTTTGTTTCTTGGTTTGGGAAGGTCCTGGTCACCCAGAAGTTAGCCTGGTCTACCTCAGTAGGTCCACTAAGGCTCCAAAACGGAAATTACAAGCAAATGGACCAGTGACTAAGAAGGCTAAAAAGAAGACTTCGTCCAGTGACAGCAGTGAAGACAGCAGTGAGGAGGAGAAAGCCCAAGGGCCTCCAGCTAAGAAAGTTGGTAAGACCGGGTAGGGAGTTGGGGTTAGCAGTTCAAGGAAAAGGATTTGTAGTCTGCCTATACTGCCTAGCTGATTCTTAGTGGGACCTGTGCTTTTGTTCAGCTGTACCTGCCAAGCGTGCCAGTCTACCTCAGCATCCTGGAAAGGCTTCAGCCAATGCATCAGAGAGTAGCAGCAGTGAAGAATCCAGTGATGATGAGGAGGAAGAGGAGGACAAAAAGAAAAAACCTGTCCAGGTTTGCAGCTTGGGAAGGAACGGGGTTGCGTAAGGGATCAGGAAGAAGAAACCTAAAATCTTGGCTTCTAGCTTGTGATCAAGAGCTGGTGGTGGACAGGTGATTATGGGGCAGAAAATCTGGGGACTTGCAGAGATGTGATAGAAGTATGAAGCCTGAAAGGGATATGTGAGGTTGAAGTTAGATTCGGAATCTAGAGTAAATCAACACAGGTATTGGGTTTCCCTGGGACACTGTCTAGAACTTCAGGGGTAAGGGAGTGTGTTTTGTATACAGATGTTGGGAGCTCCAGATAGAGAATGGCAGGGACAGGGCTAGTAGGTTGTGTGGCTGAACTTTTTGTTTCTTATTAAGAGTTTGTTGTCCTTTTCATGTCATGTCCTGCTTAGCTTTCCCTCGCCCCTGCTGCTCTGTTAGCCCCTAAAAAGTAAAAGCCGAAACTTTTTTAAAATTTTTTATTGATTTTTAGAGAGAGAGAAAGGGAAGAGGGATAGAGAGATAGAAACATCTTTGATCAGGGCTGCCTCCTGCAAGTCCCCCACTGGGGATCGAGCCCACAACCCAGGCATGTGCCCTCGGCCGGAATCGAACCGGGGACCCTTCAGTCCGCAGGCTGATGCTCTATCCACTGAGCCAAGCCGGCCAGGGCGCCAATGAAACTTTTTACCTTAAGATGCTTAAGATGCTCTCTTCATTGTGTGTTTTCTCACAGAAGGGCGTTAAGCCCCAAACCAAGGCGGTCAAAGCTCCTCCTAAGAAGGCCGAGAGCTCTGATTCTGATTCTGACTCAAGCTCAGAAGATGAGGCACCAAAGAACCAGAAGCCAAAGGCAACACCTGTGGCAGCTAAAGCTCAGGCTAAAGCCCCAGGCAAACTAGGTAGTATTCCTATTTCTGTTTTGTTTCTAAAAGGCCAGGCTGGGGACCAGCTTGCTCTGTGCACAGGTATTTAAATCGCCTATTCAGCACAAGGGTGAGATGGTGCTGTGGTTGAACCATAGATATTGATTAGTGTTACATCTTCATTGACTTTAGACGGGGGGGGGCTTTTAAACACATGGCTCCAAAGCAAAAACTATGACATTGCCTTTCAGTTTATAATGAATTTAGACATAACATGAATGACAATGATAGCCCAAAGGACAAAGTGGGGTAGGTAAATGGACTTATACAAAAGCAAGGTTTCTGTATTTTATGTGAATTGGTGAGGAAGGAAAGGGGAGGAACATCCATTTGTTGTTCCACTTATTTATGCATTCATTGGTTGCTTCCTGTATATGCTCTGACCAGAGATTGGACCTGCAACCCTGGTGTATTGGGATGATGTTCTAACCAACTGAGCTTCCTGGCCAGGACCTAGTTTATATTTTTTAAAAGATGCTATTAATGAGTAAAATATTTCATACTTAGGGGCTAGTAACTAGAGAAACAGTTTGTTGGCAAGGGAAAATGTACTTTAAGAAATGGTATCAATTTGTCATTTTTTAGTTGCATTTCATAGACATTTTATGTTCCCACAAATCCCATTTTACTATGACCACTAGCACCCCTATTCCTTGTTCTTTTCACTACCATTTTTCCTCCTAAACCTTCATTCCATAGGACAAGTGAGAAGTTTTATTTTATAATCTTCCTGTAGTGAAGGTTAGATTATGATTTATAGGCACTTCTCTGGAAGTTGGAGTGAAAGACCTCAGGGGCATATTTAAATTATTTGTATCATACCACTTTTTTTTTTTACAGAGAGGAAGAGAGAGGGATAGAGAGTTAGAAGCATCAATGAGAGAGAACCATCATGAGAGAGAAACATCGATCAGCTGCCTCCTGCACACTCCCCACTAAGGATGTGCGCGCAACCAAGGTATATGCCCTTGACCGGAATCCAACCTGGGACCCTTGGGTCCGCAGGCCGACCCTTTATCCACTGAGCCAAACCAAAAGTGATATGATACAGCCCTAACCGGTTTGGCTCGGGGGAAAGAGCATTGGCCTACGGACCCAAGGGTCCCAGGTTTGATTCCGGTCAAGGGCATGTACCTTGGTTGAGGGCACATCCCCAGTGGGGAGTGTGCAGGAGGCAGCTGATCGATGTTTCTCTCTCATCGATGTTTCTAACTCTCTATCCCTCTCCCTTCCTCTCTGTAAAAAAATCAATAAAATATATTTAAGAAAAAAATAAAGATAGAGTAGTTTTATTCCTTATGTTGGGCAGGAAAGGCCTCCTTGATATAGTAAACCACAGCAGTCTCCTTCATGTCTGCTCTAGAGGCAAGAGAATTGATAAGACTCCCAAGTTCTGAGCTAATAGGATGGAGGTTTTTATGGCCTTTTAATTTCTTGTACTTCTAACACTTTCTTTTTTTCTTAGGCACTCCTGCTCGGGCAGCACCTAAAGTAGCTAATGGCAAAGCAGCTAGCAGTAGTAGCAGCAGCAGCAGCAGCAGCAGCGATGACTCAGAGGAGGAGAAGGCAGCAGCCATTTCTAAGAAGGTCTGGACCATAACTTCTACCAGGGAAGAGAGGGGTCTGGGGATTAAAGAGGCAGTCTCAATTTCCTGGCAGGATTGGTTGGGTCCCCTTTTTCCTGTGGTAACTGATTTTCTTGTATGATGCAGACTGTGCCTAAAAAGCAAGTAGCAGCCAAGGTTCCAGTGAAAGCAGCTGCCACCCCTACCCAAAAGAGTTCCAGCAGTGAGGACTCCTCGAGTGAGGAGGAGGAGGAGGAGGAGGAGGAGCAGAAAAAGCCCATGAAGAAAAAACCAGGTGACCAGATATGGGGAGTCAAGCTACATGACTATTACCAGGGCCCATACGCAGAAGGATTTCTGTAGTCACCACGTGGACCTCTACAAAGAACTGCTTGACATGTCTGCTAGTTTCTCCCAGAGAAAGGAGAAAGGCGCTGTATCTTTTATAACCTAGACTTGAAAATGACATGTCGACATCCCTTCCATATTCTGTTTGTGGAAAATGAGTCACTAATTCTAACCCACACTCAAGGGAAGGGGTTAAACTCCATCAAAGAGTTTGTGTACATATTTTAAAATCACCACATTCTCCTTTTTAAACAGGTCCATATAGTTCAGTGCCCCCGCCTTCTGCTCCCCCACCCAAAAAGTCCCTGGGAAACCAGGCTCCCAAGAAAGCTGCAGAGAAGAAAAAGCCTGAAGAGAGCAGTGACGACAGCAGTGATGAATCTGGTGAGTCATCACCAGTGGTGAGTGGGTCTGGGGAGTGTTTGAGAAATAGGAAGATGAAAAAGCTCTTTCCACTGAAGCAAGATAGGACTAAAGCTCTGGTCTATGCATCCTTTTTATTACTCCTGTTTGGGTCTGGAATCTGGGCCCAGCCTAATGCCATAAGTTCTCTCCAGATTCCAGCTCTGAAGAAGAAAAGAAACCACCAGCTAAGCCAGTCATCTCTAAAGCAGCCACTAAACCAGCTCCAGCAAAGAACGCAGCAGAGAGCTCTTCAGACAGCTCAGGTGAGGCATATGGAGGCCCTCTGGGCAGGGGGCACTCCAGGGGCTCTTCTCAGTCTACTTTGTAATTTGGGGAGCTATTCATTCTGTCCTCTTCTCGTTTAGACTCTGACAGTTCTGAGGAAGAAGCTCCTGCCAAGTCAGCCAGTGCCACCAAAAATCCCTCAAGTAGGCCAGCTACCACTCCCAAGCAGCCTGCAGCTAAGATAGCCACAGCTCTCAAGCAGCCTGCAGGCAGTGGCCAGAAGCCTCTGACCAGAAAGGCTGATAGTAGCTCCAGTGAGGAGGAGAGCAGTTCTAGTGAGGAGGAGGAGGAGGATGTGGGGAAGGCGAAGAAGACAGTGGCCACCCCTAAGGCCAAGGTGATGGCCAAAGCAGTGCTACCTTTGCCTGCCAAACAGGCCTCTCAGGGTGGTGGGGACAGCAGCTCTGATTCAGACAGCTCTAGCAGTGAGGAAGAGGAGGAAGAGAAGGCATCTAAACCCCCAGCTAAAAAGAAGCCACAGAAGACAGCAGGAGCCGTAGCCCCTTCCAAGCCAGCCTCCACGAAGACAGTGAAGGCCAAGAGCAGCAGCAGTTCTTCTGATGACTCCAGTGAAGAGGAGGAGGAGGAGGAGGAGGAGAAGCCCAAGGGCAAGGGTACTCCTAGACCACAAGCCCTCAAAACCAATGGCACCTCTACACCGACCGCCCAGAATGGAAAAGCAGAGAGGAACAGCAACAAGGAGGAGGAAGGAAAGACAAAGGCAGCAGTAGCAGTTTCTAAGCCAGGTCTGTATCCACAGAAGCTGCCCTCTTTGGTCCCCCGGCCCCCCTTCAATTAGGATGGGATAGATACTCTGGGGGGGATGGCATAGAGAGAGGAGGCAGAATGACTAGGTTCCAGTTGCAGGCCCTCAGTGTGGCAACATGGGCAGAGGAACGGGAAACTGTTCTGAGTCTTGGCTTTTTGTTTTGTAGGTTTAGGAAAGAAACGAAAGCAGAATGAGGCTGCCACGGAGGCAGAGACTCCTCCAGTCAAGAAGATAAATCCTCAGACCCCTAACACATTTCCGAAAAGGAAGAAAGTAAATTGTCTTCTTTTCCTCTTGGGAGTTAGCCTTTATTTATTTTTTTTATTAATAGGAGGAAATAAAATTTTAATACATGTGTGGGCAATTCACATATGCATGAAAATTTCAAAGACTGAGGCAACATTGGGTATGTAAGCCATATTTGGACAAAGAAGAAAGGGGTGTGGAGTATTATATTTCAGAAGTGAGAATGGGGAGCTAGCCTTTCAAGAGTAGAAAGAAGAATCTGGAATCATTTTGATAGCTCTCTGCCTGGCCTGGCAAAGATGCACATGTGTGTAGCTTAGGAGGGCTTTTCTGTCACCTGACCACTCCGTCTTTAATTTGGTACTTCGTTCTTAACCAGGCAGAAAAAAGGGCATCATCCCCATTCCGAAGGATCAGGGAGGAGGAAATTGAGGTGGATGCTCGAGTGGCAGACAACTCCTTTGATGCCAAGGTGAGGAGAGGGAGTCACCATTCTTGAGCAGTGTAGAGTGGAAGAGAGGACAGTTTTGCTTCAGATTGGTGGGAAACTCCCTGGGTTCAGGTTGTCTAGAGAAGAGACAAGAACGTGACAGGGCCCTGGTGTCCTGTGTGTTGACCACCTCTCTCTACTCGCCAGCGCGGTGCAGCCGGAGACTGGGGGGAACGAGCCAATCAGGTCCTGAAGTTCACCAAAGGCAAATCCTTCCGGCATGAGAAGACCAAGAAGAAACGGGGCAGTTACAGGGGAGGCTCCATCTCTGTCCAGGTTAATTCAATTAAGTTTGACAGCGAGTGACCTGCAGTGATCCTAGCAAAGCAGGGGTGATGATCCAAGACTACTTACTTTCCCCAGTGGACCTAGGAGCTCTCAGCTCTATTCGGGGAGGTATTGGTGAGGACAGCAGCCTAGAATAGGTCCGAAGACATTGTATCGGAACATCCTCTCTGGTCCTTTTCTGTGTTCGTAGTTTTGTACAGACTTGTTTGTGAGTGTTGAGTAGCAAGGACAAGGTAAGGGGAGTGTTCTTTTTAAGTAAAAATTAGTTTTAGTTGTCATCCCCTTCTCCCTGTTCTGTGGAAGTCATGCTGAGAAATTTGTATATTTTCTATTGAATCATTTCCTATTGATTTTTGTTGTGATTTTTCAGAGGTGTGTTCCCATAGATAAAAGCTATTGCCCAAGACATAGTAAAGGTTATGTGTGAATTTTTTTAATTGGAGAATTCTGCCTATGTGAGTACACATGTCTACATTTCATCCCTCCTATCACTCAGCCCTGGTGAGGGGCAGTTGAGAATGGTTAATGTATATGTCTGTTAAGCATGCACTATGTAGTTCCTCATTCATGCGGTCTAAAACTGACGTTTTCAGCCAGCATGGACGTAGCTACTTTGGGGGATAAAATTAACTGTTTTGTTACAGGCAAAATTATGGTGTGTGAATGCTGTGGAGTCAGTCTGAATATTTTGTTTTCTGTAATTTTATCACTATTACGGAATATTTGCAATACCTGTTTTTTAATTTGAAAGCATAAACTTTTTTATTGTTCAAAAGACTTGTTTTGGTGACTTGACCTTTAACAGTGTTGAGTACTAAATTGGAAACTGCATCATCTGACTTTTTTATATTTTAGAGAACAAAATAACATTAATTTAATCTGGAAAGTACATATCACTTGGTATGTCTATCTTAGTAGCAATACTGACACAAAATTAGTTTCAATAACTCCTGTGTGGTTGGGAATCATTGATCAAGAAAGTGAAAGAAGAAAAATAACCTCAGTTCTCAGTAGGAATTAGATTACATTAGGTAAATTTATAGGTCGCCTATGTATGTGCTAATAAAAATGGGAAGAACCTTTACAATGCATATTATCTGGTAAAACTTGAATAGAGTGGGTTTGGGAGAGCATCCGAATAGATTAATGAGTCTTGTAGTTGCTACGTGGGAGCAAGTGATGTGCCCCTTTCAGAACCTTAACTGTCCATAACAGTGGAGGGAACGATAAAAACCAGTGAGCAGCGCTATGGTAGGCTAAGCTGGCTGATGGTAGAGCTGCAGGTCATGCTGCCAGTGCTCTGCCAGGGCACAGTGGAGAAGGAAGAGTCAACAAACTGGAGACTGGGCTGTCCCTGTGGTGGGAAGGTGTGCTCCAGTTTCAGGGGCAAGGTATAGGTCCTGAAATTAACCTCCCCTTTTTTGGATTCCATACTCTTCAAATAACCTGATAATAACCTGGTTTTCCATGTAACTGCCTCTAGGTAGGAAACGCACTGTTCATGCTGACATAGGTGTTTCAGTCTGCATGGTGAAGTTATACATCTTACTACAAAATAATAAACTGGTTGGTTTCTAATGTGTCATGGAGTTTTATTGTGAGTCCAAAGCTCTCCTACCTCCTATTCACACCAAAACAATTTGGGTGCCAGTTAAAGGGCTGGGGTCCAGACCTCTGAGTTCACTACAGAGTCTTGAGGTTAGCCATACCTTGTCTCTTGGTGCCTTTTCCAGGCAGTAGTCCAGCCAGTGTGTAGTCTAAATTGGGGTTGGCAAAACGGCCTATGGGCCAGATCCAGCCCATGGCTTGTTTGTGTATGACTTAAAGGGCTTTAAAAAAAAAAAAAAAAGAATATGACAAACTTCATGTGACCTACAAAGCCTACAATATTTACTATCTGGTCCTTTACAGACAAAGTTTGCTACCCCTTGGTATAAATCAGTGATTTCATAACATTGGCTGAAAATTAGTCATCTGGGGTACTTTTGAGAACACTGATAGCCATCCAGGGGCCCATTCCCAGACTGGTTGAGTCAGATGCTGGTGTCCTCTGGTGAGACCTGTTAGCTCCCAGGTGATTCTAACAAGCAACCAGTGTTGAAATCCACTGATCTAAGAGTATCTGAAAAATATTTTTTCTTTCCTCTCATGGTTCCATTAACAAATGTCCTTGTTAAGTCTGTATAAATATCTTAAAATGAAATACAATATCTATGCATTAACTTTTCTACTTAGATGAATAATTTGTAAGTGTACTGCTTATTGTTTGAAGCTATGGCTTATTTTTTTTCTTTTGCATTTTATAAACGCCTTTCCCAGTCTTGTTTTTTTTTTTTTTTTAACTTAACAGACCTCCTTTCCCCTTAGGCCTGAAACTGCTACATATATGCAGCTAATGTGTTACACAAATGAGGCAGTTTAGCAAATTGTCTAACAGCATTTACTAGGAAATTACTTAACGTTTCCGAATTGGCTTTCTCATATTTAAAATGAGAGTATTATCTCATCTGTAAAATCTGACTACTCTGAAGGGTTGTAAGGACAGAGAATTTAGAGCATTTAGCACGGTCCCTGGCATGTTGTAAGCACTCCGTGACTATCACTTGGATAATAAAAGGATTTTGGAAATGACTTTTTTTGGTGTCCTTGTGATGTGCAACATGCCATTTCATCAGTGACTCAAATCGGAACAGAGTCAATGACAATTTTTTTTGTCATTTGTTTAGCATCTTTATTCATGATGCCAAGGTTTGACATGCAGAATCAATCTTGTTTATTAGGAACTTTAGTTTTATGAGGGATCTGAAATTCCCACCTACCACTGATGGGTACTGACACTATTGCTGAAATCCACAAATTCAGTGAGTCACACACCTGATGGCTCATGCCTCTCTATCTCAAAATGTACACAAGGCAGGATACTGTCCTACAACTCATAGTTTTGTGCTGCACAGGTTATATTCTGACTGCAACCCAACTTTTTTAGGGGGATATTAACTAAATCAGGGTTTCTCAACCTCGATATTTCCATTTTGAGTCAGATCATTCTTTTTTGTGGAGAATTGCCCTGTGTGTTGTATGTGGAGCAGCATCCCCCAGCATGGATACCCAAAGTGCTGCAGATATTGCCAGATATTCCCTGGAGGAAAATTATACCTAGTTGAGAACTACTGGGAATAGCGGAGTATAAAGTGATTTGCTTAGGGTTGATAGCTGCAATTTAGTGGCACATGGAGACAAGAATCCAGGTCTCTGAAAATCAGCCTGCCTGTGTACTAGCCATAGAGCTCCAAGGGAGCTCAGTGTCTAACCGGGGAAGTTGGACATGGGAACAGTTCTGTGCAGTGTGCTGAGTCCTGTCACCAGGGGCCAGAGTAGCACCGCAAAGGGGACAAGCAAGAAAATCCTGGCCTTGGTTCAGGATCCCGAGGAGAGGAACAGCTTAATTTACCATGCAAGGAAGAGGACATTTTTCAGTGGGAGAAGCCTTTTTAGGATGGATCAAGAGGGTATGTAGAAGGTAGGGGCAAGATAATGCTAAGTCTGACTCAATGAAGATTCAACACCCATGGCCAAGGCAGGGATTAGTTCTTTATTTTGTCCCCCTGGGTATTTTAGGGGATTGTTAGTCCAATGCAACAGCTGCCAGGAAAGCAAAGTTCTTGCTGATCACTTGAGTTTTCTCCTGCGCCCTGCAGAGCCTGCTTAAGCTGTCTGCAGTTTCTGAACAGGCCAGTAGGTGGGGCTTTTGCCCACTGCAAGGAGCTGGACTAGACCAGTTAAAAAGCCTTACATTGTCATTATTCCAGTAACATTCAACAAACTCAGAGAATCTGCCATGAGTTTTTGGATGCAAGCCATGAGGTGAATTAAGACATAGGCCCTCATTTGAGGACCCTTGTTCTGGAGTGGAGAAAGGCCCTTCTGATTATGAGAGATTGGCTTGTAGAGGGTGTTCACCATGGAACCTCCAACTTTCCTCTCAGGTTCTACAGGGCCCTGGGGTTCCCACAAGGGGGGTCAGCCACAGGTCCCCACTGCAGACCTGAGCCTTCCTAAGTCTGGATGCTCAGAGGCCATGGCACTTTCCCATCTTCCCTTTCTCCCCTCCTCTCCCAACATGATCCCCTTTGGAGCTCAGGCTTGAGAATAAACACCAGACTTCCACCTTGGAAGTGGGTTGGACGGTGGGAGGAGTACAATATTTCAATAATTATTAGCCTGCCAGACACACATTCATACATTCAGCAAATAAGTGTTTACTATGTGCCAGGCACATAATATGTGATTTTGTGTCAGAGACTTTGAAGACACAATCATGAGTGAATAAAAAAACAACAGTTCCAGCGATCAAAGTTTACCTTGTCTAATATGGGGCAAAGATATTAATCCTCACAATAAAGTGTAAATATAAACTTCAGTGCAATGAAGGCAAAGAGCTATGAGAACATGTAACATGGGAACTGACTCATGTTATGGTAGGACTTCCCCATGGATAGGGTAACCATGTAATTTATCATTTAGACTGGGATGCTTTTGAGAGTGAAAGGGAGAGCTGTTAGTAATTAGGCTAAGATGAACAGAGGTAAACAGACTATCCCAGGCAAGTTGGGACATGGTCCCTGCAGTAATAAAAATCTTTACTGAATGAGACTTGAAGGTGAGAATTACTTAGGTGAAGGTGGTAAGGATGAATGAGTAGACCTGTGCGTTTTTTTCCAGCTAGATGGAATAGTGTGTATAAAAGCCTTTTTTTAAAAATAAATTTTTGTTCAGATTATTACAGTTGTTCCCCCACCCCCATAGCTCCCCTTCACCTGGTTCCCACCTCCCCATGCCCTTACCCCCCCAACTGTCCTCGTCCATAGGTGTACGACTTTTGTCCAGTCTCTTCCCACACCCCCCACACCACCTTCCCCCTGAGAATTGTCAGTCCACTCTGTTTCTATGCCCCTGATTGTATTCTATTCACCAGTTTATTCTGTTCCACTCTATCCACTGAGCCAAACTGGTTAAGGCCATAGGTTGATGCTTAAACCACTGAGCCAAACCGGCCAGGCAACATTGACTATTGAAGTGGGATAAATGCAGGTAAGCTCTTGTCATGATACATATTATAATCTTTGAAGTAATCACTAGACGCATAATAAAAGAAAGTACAGCCCTAGCCGATTGGCTCAGTGGATAGAGCGTTGGCCCGCGGACTGAAGGGTCCAGGGTTCGATTCTTGTCAAGGGCACATGCCCAGGCTGTGGGCTCAATGCCTCGTAGGGTGTGTGCAGGAAGCAGCCGATCAATGATTCTCTCTCAGTGTTGATGTTTCTATCTCTCACTCCCTCTCCCTTCCTCTCTGAAATCAATAAAAATATTTAAAATAAAATACAACTAAAAAGCCAAACAGGAGGAAAAAAGTGGAGCGAAAATTACTTTATTAATCCAAAAGGAAATGAGAAAGGAACAAAGAACAGGTGGAAAAAATAGAAAATAGTAAAGTGGTAGTTTTAAGCCCATCTATAAAATCAGTAGTTACATTAAATGTAAATGGTCTAAGCACTTCAATAAAAAAGACTATCAGACTGTATATAAAAAAAGCAAAAAAGGCCGAAACCGGTTTGGCTCGGTGGATGGAGCGTCGGCCTGCAGACTGAAAGGTCCCAGGTTCGATTCCGGTCAAGGGCATGTACCTGGGTTGCGGGCACATCCCCAGTAGGAGATGTGCAGGAGGCAGCTGATCGATGTTTCTCTCTCATCGATGTTTCTGACTCTCTATCTCTCTCCCTTCCTCTCTGTAAAAAATCAATAAAAATATATTTAAAAAAAAAAAAAAAAAAGCAAAAAAGCAAACCCACTTCCATGGTGCTTATAAGAGACATAAGCTGTTTAACATTCAAAATCCATTTGAGCCCTTCTCTCCAGCTGCGGCTAAAGTGCTCGGTTCTTCGGAGGAAGCTTAGACCACGTTGGGGTGAGATCCTCCCTTTATCCAGCAACTAGCGCCGCTCCCGGCAGTGCCCGCCCAGCACTTGCCCACACGATGGCTTCCATCTCGGAGCTTACCTACATCTACTTGGCCTTTATCCTGCCTGACGAAGAGGTGACGGTGACAGAGGATAAGATCAATGCCCTCATTAAAGCAGCTGGTGTAAGTGTTGAACCTTTCGGGGCAGGCTTGTTTGCAAAACGTTTGGCCAATGCCAACATTGGGAGCCTCCTCTGCAATGTAGGGGCTGGTGAACCTGTCCCAGCAGGTGGCATTGCCCCAGCAGGAAGTCCTGCCCTCTCCACCTGCTGCCTCAGCTGAGGAGAGGAATGTAGAAGGAAAGATAGAAAAATCTGAGGAGTCTGATGATGACATAGGCTTTGGTCTTTTTGACTAAAACTCTTTTGTAACACATTCAATAAAAAGCTGAACTCTGGGGGGAAAATTTATTTGATATAATCAAGTAACAAAGGAGAAAAACATGATTTTTTAAATTATTTTTATTCATTTATTTATTGATTTTAGAGGAATGGAGAGAAAGAAAGAGGGAGAAACATTGCTTTGTTGTTCCATTTATTTATGCCTTCATTGGTTGCTTCTTG